TCCCTGTGAGTCAGAATCAACCTGAGGATGGAGGTTTGGTTTAGGTTTACTGTGTTCCAGCTGCCATTCTGTATTGCTTCAGTTAAGTTACTAACATCCAAAATTATAGTACAGACAAAATAGATTATACTCATTATTTTAAGGCAGTTTATTAAATGGTACATTTATTCTTTAAACTATATACTCATAATTTTCCCAAGGAATTAAAAAAAGTCATAAATATTAAAAAAAATTTATTGTAAAAGTAATGTATGTTTATGGGGAAGATATTCCAACACCACATAAAAGAATTTCTAAAATCTTTATCCCGCTTATATTTGACTTGTAAAAATATTTTAGAACAGTTTTAGATTTAAGGAAAAATTGATACAGAGAGCTCCCATGTAATTCTACACATAGTTTCCTTATTAATACCTTGCATACTATGGTACATTTGTTAAAATTAAACAACCAATATAATACATTTTTATTAGCTAAGCTCCATAGTTTATTCAGATTTCTATATATTTTCCCTCATGTCCTTTTTCTGTTCCAGGATTCCATCCAGGATACCACATTATTTTTAGTTGCCCTAACTCCTTAGACTTTGCTTGGCTTTGACAGTTTCTCAGACTTCCCTGGTTTTTGATGACTTTGACAGTTTTGAGAAGCACTGGTCAGTTGTTTTGTAGTCTGCCCCTCTATTGGCATTTCTCTAATGTTTTTCTCACAATTAGACCAGGATTACGGGTTTTTGAGAGGAAGACCACAGAGGTAAAAATGCCATTTTCATTACATATTGAGGGTATAGACTATCAATAGGATTTATTACTGTTAATGTTGACCTTGATCATTTGGCTGAGGTGGTGTTTGTCAGGTTTCTCCATTGTCAGGTTACTCCCCTACTCCACGCCCATGCTATATTCTTTGGAAAGAAGTCAGTATGTGCAGCCCACACTTGAGGAGTAAACAATTATGCTCCACCTCCTTTAGGGCAGAGGACCTACATAAATTTGGAATTCTTTGCAGAGTAACGTTGTCTCTTCTCCCTCACTTATTAATTTACTCAGTTATTTATATCAATATGGACTCATGTTATTTATTTTGGAATAAATATCCAATGCTACTGCTAAAACGGCAAGGAGGCCACATGTTCCGACCTCCTCTAACCCTACAAGAGGAAGACAGGATTACCAGCAGTAACCTAAGGCCCATTCCTACAAGGCCAGACATGCTGCCTTCCTCCAGCCCTTTCTCCAACCGTTCCTCCCAAAGCACCCACCACCTCTCTCCTGGGTTCGATAATTCGCTGCAGTGGCCACACAGAGCTCACAGATTATGGGGTTTATTAGGGAAGCACCACAGGGTACAATTCAAGTTCAGGAAAAAATGCTCAGCCTCTCTCCCAGCCCACCATCCCTCAGCCAACAGTCTCTCACAGTCTCTTTCCCAGCAGTGCTGGTCCCTCAGTGTCTTACTCAGCAATGTGTGTCTCTTGCGTCTCTTTCCCAGCAACATGTGTCTCAGGAGACCAGGTCTCTTTCAGCAGCAGGTCTTCCTCAACCAGCAGTCAGAGAGAGAGTTCTGCCTCTAGGAGGCCTCCTTTTGAGCCCGGCAGGGTGGTCAAACTAGCCAATTATAGCATCAGAACTCTAAGCACCTGAGAGAGAGTGGGCACCTCCCAGAACATTGTTTTGTGCCACTCCCAACAAATACTCCAGGTGGACAGCTTCAGCAATCAGGAACTTATCAGTTGCTCATTCCACCACTAAATTTACAATGACTTATGGGTAGAAAAGCCATACAAAGTAATTTACTACACTGCAACTACTGTCTTTAACTTAGAACTCAGTACTACTTTATTTGTTGCTGGGATTGTTCCAAATTTGGCCATTAGGACCTCTTTCAGTTGGTTCTTATGCCTCTTTGACACATATATATATCTCACTTCCTTACTTTCTAGCACTACAAGATACCCTAGTTTCATCTTGTGTATTTTCTGTCCTAGTCCTAGAAAGAGCCCTTTTTCCTAGGAGCCCTAATTCTTTTTATTGGAGAATGGTATTAGGAACCAACATCTGTGTACTAGGTGTGCTGGTTGCTACTTGATACAGTTTCTTTTAGGCTCTTGGCAGTTGACAGCACAGAAAAATATATGTATATATCCATCCACTGCCATCAAGTAGATTCTGACTGACAGCAACCCTCACAGGGGTTCTAAGGCTGTAAGTTTTTATGGAAATAGACTGCCTCGTCTTTCTCCCATGGAGTGGCTGGTGGGTTTGAACCACTGACCTTTTGGTTAGCACTCTAATGCCTTAACCACAGCACCATGAGAGCTCCTTATATGTGTATATAAACCAAATCCAACCCAGCCCACTGCCATCAAGTCAATTCCAACTCATAGTGACTCCATTGAGTTTCCAAGGCTGTAAATCTTTGTGGAAGTATATATATCGCTTCATCTTCCTTCCACAGAGCAGCTGGTGGCTTTGAACACTCAACCTTCTGGTTAGTAGCCACATGCCTTACCCTTTCCACCACCAGAGCTCCTTATATATAGATAGATACATACATACATACATATCTATAAGTATTTCTGTAACCATTTTTATCTAGAAGTTTAAACTTTAGTTTAGTTTAAACTTGAGTTTAAGTATAGCCTAAACTTGAGTTCCTAATGAGGTATCCATTGCCACATGGATTATTCTAGCCTCCTCCTCTTGTTTATCTGTAAATTCCCACTCCCAACAGTGAGAAACCTGGCCTACACCACCCTCTCTCCATTTATTTAAATTTTGATTTCCAGTACACTTGAGGCAGCGTCAGAATTATTAACTCATACCCCTTTGTAAAATTATCAACTATAGTACATTGCTTATGTATACTTCCTTTTGCCTTTTGTCTTATAGACTGTACCAGTTTCTAAAGTTACTTAGGTCAGCACCTTTTCCCCCCTATTTCTTTTTTTGTCAATAAAATTTGTTGGGTGAACAAGTCACTCTTTCTTCTAGAAGGCATTGTGTTCTCTTTATTTCTGGCACTATTTTCTGTTGCCTCTACCAGCAATAGTCTTCTTAGCTCTACTATAACCAGCTCCCCTCCTTGCTCCTGGGAGCTCTGGTAGCATAGTGGCTAAGGCACTTGACTGCTAACCAGAAGGCTGGCGGTTCAAACCCATCAGCCACTCCTCGGAAGGCAGATGGGGCAATCTGCTTCCGTAGTGATGCTGCCTCGGAAACCCAGGGAAGGGGTCGCTATGAGTCGAGTTCGACTCGATGGCACATAACAAAAACAGCAACAACTCCTTGCTCCTACCTTGCCTTCTCCTGTCATCCTACACATTTCTCTCTCTCAGTAATACTGTTAATGAATGGAATAGTAGATGGATGATGTAGAATATTTTTTTAGCCTTAGATAATTTTTCTTCCTACTGATTAGTCTTAATATTTCTGAAAAATACTAATTGTAATTTCAAATAATACTATATTTAAAAATAGTGTGTGTTTATGTTTTTCTAACCATTTCAGTAGGGAGGCACTGTAACATTAAAAGCATGAATTATGGAACTATACTCCTTGGATTCAAGTTCTGACTTCAACCTTAATAATTTAGTTAATCTAAGTGTGCCTGGATTTTCTCATCTGTACAATGGAGATACTATTTTCTACCTAATACAGTTGATGTGAAAATTAAATGAATATCCTTTTAAGTGCTATTAACAGTGCATCCAAAATAACCAAACACACTGCCATCGAGTCGGGCCCAACTCATAGTGACCACTCCTTAGGTTCCGAAGGCGGTATCACTATGGAAGTAGATTGCCCAACCTTCCTTCCGAGGAGTGGCTGGTGGATTTGAACGGTGCATAGCACATATTAAGTGCTCAGTAAATGTCAACTATTATTGAACACTAGTGCTGTATGACGATGCAGAGGGGAAAATTACATCATAGTACTGCATTTAAGGTGATTGTTTTTTCAGACTTTTGAGGATTGCTTCAGGTGTTTTAAAGATAGGGTTAACTTCTGGTTTGCCTAGGGTGGTGGTCCTAGAATATGCCTGTTGTCCTGGCATAATTATTAATAGCACCCGTTTTCACTTGCAAACGTGTCTTCATGGTTTGAGGGATAAGTTATACAGTCACTATTTAAAGGGCCTGTTAAGCCCAGGGGTTGTGTAAATGAGTGGAGTAGGCTTAGGGTAGAAAAGTGGGTTCAGGGAATGAACACATACATAAGAGGACAGCCACTACTCTGTTCGAGATGCTGGTGGCTGTGGAGGAATGTGAATCCGGTGTAACCAGATTTAGATCTTTGAGTTAGAGGTGGAAATCTGGAATTTTTATAAAGGTCTCAAAATTTTTCATTATTGGCAACTAATTCACATTATCTAAAAAGTATAAAAAGTCACTGAACTGTATAAAGATTTATGCATATTATCACTTGTAAATTATATCACAGTTTAAAAAATGTACAGGTCATACAGTGATACCTATATCTATCTATATATGCATATATTCTATGACCTGTTGGTTTCTATTATTTGATAATTACTTACTGAAAGAATCAATTCTAATGTGGAAATTTAACACATAAGTGTTTTTTAATATTGGTTAATATATCAGCCTTTATAGAGTTTGAACTCTGTCCTTAGTGTATGTCCAATGATAATAAAAACTATAAGATTGGAAAAAGTTACCTTATAAAGTTGCCTAAAGGGAAATCTGGAGAGCATATTTAGACTGAAAAAACTGGATACTTAAAATACATGTAAGGGTAAATTGATCATTAACTGTGAGAGACTTTGAAAATCTCAATGAATTAAAATGATTAAGAGTTTTCTGAAGGCTATATAAATTATATGTAATTGCAATAGTGAAAATAGAAGTGTACTTTTAGTAGACAAAAATTGAAGAACCGCTGCTTTTACATGAATATGCTTCAAAATGGTCTTTCTTGATTAGGTTGCTGAAACTATGCTTTGGAAACAAATTAAAATTTTTTCTTTTTCTTTTTAAGATTGCTTTAAAGAAGTCATTCATATACGTCTGGACGAACTTCTCCGTGTTTTAAAGTCTGTAATGAATAAGCATCAGAACCTTAATTCTGTTGATCTTCAAAATGCTGCAGAAGTGCTTATTGCAAAAGTGAAAGGTAAGGAAGATCTGTGCAAAGTGGGCTGATAGAGGCGAAAAAAGGATCCAAATGATATTATCTTTGTCCATGTTGATTGCATAGCCATCTCTCCGGCACTGTTATGGAGTATATTAATAAGTAATTTTGTATGCTTTGATATTTAAATATTCCCACTGTCACACCTAAAGATCTCTTCCTTTCTAAAATTGAAACTTTATTTTAAAGTACACACTCTAAAAATACTATCTTAAATAAACCAGACAAATGATATTTTAAAATTTTGAGGTTTTGAAAGGAGGCATGGCATGTTCTTTTGGAATGAGTTACTAGTATACATACAGAAAGTGTTTGTTATGTGAGCATAAGGGATGCTGGAAAACCATAATTTTCAGTGATTTCACATAAGGAAGGAACCAAATGGAGAAAAATAAACTTTAATTGGGACTTTATTTTAAAATAAAAACTTTAAAAAAAGTTTATCACATACATGTGTTTGCACATGTATATGTATATATGTATGCATATATATAGATTGCAAATGTGTGCTAAAACTTAGAATTAAGAACTAGGGATATTAGCCTCTGATGCAGTGACTTGTAGTTAGACTTATTCTGGGCTGAACTACATAGGAAGGATTGAGAGAAAGGGAATATTTGAAGAAATATGAAACTGGAATCAAAGAGATTGTTAGGATTAGGGTAGATGAGGATTGAGGGTCTGATCTGAGGCAGTAGCTGGGGTGTGGTAGTGGTAGAATGTGGGCTGTTACATACAAGGGGTAGGTACCGATTTGTCAAAACATAACAGACTGAATGTTGAGGGTTAAGGAGAAGTCTGAGTTGAAGGTGTGGATTTGGGAGTTGTTAGCGTATGGAAGTGGTAATGGAAGAGGAAGACACTGTCTTTGAATGACCAAAGTAAATAGAGGACCAAGTATGAGTGAGATTCCAGGGACATAGAGAAGATAGAGGAACTTGAGAAACATTTAAGACGTAGGGAGACAATCTGGAGAGAGACGTCACAGAATTTTTAAAGCCCAGGGTTTTAAAAAGTGGTCATTGGTGTCAGAAAGCACTGATAAGGTAATACTAACTCACTGAGCTCTGAATAGGAGCTCTGGTAGCATAGTGGCTAAGGCACTTGACTGCTAACCAGAAGGCTGGCGGTTCAAACCCACCAGCCACTCCTTGGAAGGAAGATGGGGCAATCTACTTCCATAGTGATACTGCCTCGGAAACCCAAGGAGGGGTCCCTATGAGTCGGGTCTGAATCGACGGCACATAACAACAATAACAACAACTCACTGTAAGAATGAAAAGTGACTTCTGGGTAGCTGTTGTGCAGTAGAATCAGAGACAGGTAAGGTAACAGCAATGCTGTGATCAGGTCTGTAATAGAGGTAATATGGCTGCCATGAGAGAGCATGGAGAAAGGGCCCATCCTCAAGTGAATAAGGAAAGGAAACTTTAGAGAAAAGGGGTAACTCCTCCAGAGTCTTGAAGACTGAATAGGTATTAACAGGGCTAGAGTTGGGAATTCGGGACTGCGATGTAGGTAGCTTGCACAAGGACTCTGAATGGAGGATGAGATGGTGAGCTTGCTACTGCCTGGGGAGGGTAAAGTGCAAATGTCAAGGGATGAGGCGGGAAGAGAAAATAAAAACCTTGTCTGTAGGATATAGACTACACCCCCCTTTTGTTGCTATAGATTCTTTTTTGTAGCTTTTTTATCCTGTATTTCAAGCACCAAAAATATGCAGATGGTTTTAAATGGGAAATATAGATAGCTTGTGCTGTGATTTTAAAAAATGTGCTTAGTAACTAAATTTGTTTTTAAATAGATTGCTTACAAGTGCCATTTAACTTAGATAGGGAAACTTGCCGCTATAGATAGTAAAATTTCCATGCTTGGAAATAGCGACCACAGTTCAATTGTTGTCAATAGCTATTGTGCGCAGTCAGGATGTCCTGGGGAAGGAGTGTGCCCTTGTGTAGCTGGTGTCCACATTCCAGAAACAGACATGAAGAAAGTGGTCTCTAAGCTGCCTTGAAGATCTTTTTATCTTTGAGGTAAAGCGATCTTTTAGATATTATTTCCCACTGTGACTGTCGTTACCCTTGAGATTATTGTTATTATTTTACTTGGGTTTATGGATGCTGTTTAAAAGGGGAAGAGTACTTTGTGGTTGAGGAACTTGTTCTGTTTTGATAGAACTTCATGGCACTATAAAACTAAACATTGTCGTTTTCTATGGAGTAAATTTTTATATTTTAAAATAAAACCTTCTCCCCATTCTATGTTGTTGAGCCTATCTAAAAATATCATTGATACATCAAATGTATCAGTGTAGTGACCTGAAAAATTGAAGTCAAATCAGAACATTTAATTCTTCCACTTTAATGGTGATTTCGTTGTCAGGCCTTGGAACGGTCTGAGAGAGGTAGGAACCATTTTTGAACATCTAGTCTATGCCAGACAGTCTAGGTGCTTTGCATATTGCTATCTATATAAATCTTCGCAAAAAACCTATAAGAGTACATTTTTGTTGTCTCTGTTTTAAAGAGGAAAAGTTAAAAACTAATGTATGATAGGATCAGGAAGCTTATTGAGTTTTAACTCTGTTATTCCATTTCAAAAATGATGGTGACCTGGTCAGTTAACTTCTTTGGAGGTCTTAATTGTCAAGTGTACTTTTTAAATATACCAAATTGTTAAAAAGAAAAATAGCTTCTGTGGTATAACTTTAGAATCAAGGATGTAAAATCTTGGTGGTGGTACCACAGATTTGAATGCATGAAATACATCTACTTCATATGTATAATAAGTGAAAAATTGAATTTTTTAAAGTCAATTTTTATTTTGAAAGTGGAATTTACCTTTTAATAACTTTAAAAGAAATATCCTTAGCTTTTCCCCATTCATTCTAATAGTAACTTGTATTTCCTGTGTCTCCTCATGTTTCCAAGCAGGAAGTTCAGTCTGACAAACTATTTGCAATATGGTAAGAGAGATACAGCCTATTTTTGAAGCTGATAAAGACATCTTTAGCAGTCAGTAAATGTACTAAGTATTTGTGTTTTAATTATTTTGGGCAACCTTACTTGTAATATAAATGGAAAGAACCATTTATTTTGGTTTTGCATGTCTATTTTTTGACCTAAATTTAAAAGTTGGTAAATAAAGAAAATAAACCTTAGTTATAAATCCACAATTATAGAAGCCTCGTGTTTTCTTGTTTTGAAAACTTTATCAGTAGATAATACTGTCACATGATTCAAAATGCAAATAGTATAAAGGAGTATGCAATAGTGATGTCTCTCTCCTAAGACCCTTAGCCCCCTATTCCTTTCCCTAGCTCAGCAATAACTATTATTGGTTTCTTTCCAGAGATACATAATTTATTTACAAACAAATATATGTATATGTACTCTTTTTTACCCAAATGGTATTTGTTCTGTTGCTTGCTCATTCCTTATGTGTATATAAAGGATTTTTCATTCTTTGTTTTTACATTCAAAACTGGATAGTAATTTGTTATGTTGATACACTACAGTTTATTTTCACCACTCATTGGTTAGTTTGTTGTACTGTGGGGGCTTGTGTGTGGCTGTGATGCTGGAAGCTGTATCATTGGTATTTCAAACACCAGCAGGGTCAACCATGGTGGACAGGTTTCAACGGAGCTTCCAGACTAAGACAGGCTAGGAAGAAAGCCCTGATGATGTACTTCTGAAAATCAGCTAATGAAAACCTTCTGGATAACAAACACATGATTTTGAAGAAGAACGAACCAGGCAACATTATGTTCTGTTAAAACATAACAATGCCATGAGTCAGAGCCAACTTGACGGCAACAACAACATAATTTAATCAGTAGGCTTTAGAATTGTTTCTGTTCTTTTTCTGTTAGAAGCAATGCTTTGATGAATGACTATAAATTCTTTGGTGGGCAACTGCTAGATCAGATGGTGTGTGCATTTATATTTTTGATACTACCATGTTGCCCTCTGCAGAGGTTCTGCCCTTTTGCCTGCAGTACTGAGAAGGCTGATTTGTACCTTGGCTGACAGAGCTGGTTACCAACCAAGCTTTGTCATCCAATTGGATGGTGAAATTTGGCATCTCTGTAGATTTTATTGGCATTTCCTCATCTTCAGAACATTATGTTTAAGAGCCATTTGTAGTTCCTTTTATGTCAGTTGATACTTCGTCCATTTTTTCTTTGGTAGTTGGTCCTTTTTTTGTTTTTAAATTGATTTATAGAAAAAACTGTGTGTGTGTGTGTGTGTGTGTGTAATTAGCCCTTAACTTAATCTTTGATGTAAGTTGCAAATTTTACCAGTTTGTTTTTAATTTTGATTTTATGTATGGTATTCTTTTCTGTTTTATTTTTCCATTTAAGTTTATTAGTCTTGTCTTTTATAGTTTCTGAGTTTTGGTTATTAGGAAGGATTTCCCCATTCTGAGATTATAATTTCTCCAGTGGTTTTCCTTTTTATGTTTTAATATTATAATTTATTAAAGTTTTTTATATATTCTAAAGTAGCTAGGTATCTAGTTAATTTATTGAATAATTCATCTTTTTTCCCCACTGATTTGAAATGCCACCTTTATCATATATTAAATTTTCACATATATTTGTATCTAATTATGGATCTTAATATTTTTCTTAATATAACACACATGTGTGTATATGTGATATATTACTGTAATACATGTTGTATATTAATACATACTCTTATTATTATAGTGTATATTATACATTCCTATATTATGCTACTATGGGACTCTGGTGGCATAGTGCCTGAGGCATTTGACTGCTAATCAGAAGGCTGGTGGTTCAAACCCACCGGCCACTCCTTGGAAGGAAGGTTTGGCACTCTACTTCTATAATGATAGCACCTCGGCAACCCAAGGAGGGGTCGCCATGAGTCGGATCCAACTTGATGGCAGTACATATGCTACTATATATAGTAATACATATGTGTTACTATAATATGTATAATTATTACTTGGAA